CTCAAAATTTATCACTGCTAATCCTTAATGTCATATATTCATTTTTTCTAAATAGAAGTTTGGGATCACACTGAATATATCACTTGGCAGCTAACACTATTCTCGTAACATATTTCCATGTTGATCATTCTAAGTCTGCACTGTCAGTTTTCTGGGCTGTAGGCTTGGCCATCCTGTAGCTTCCCTGTGGTGGGATCAACTAGCCTCCTTTCTTTGGCTGTTCATTTACTCTCATTGTTTGCTTTTTATAAGAACACCTGAATGAATGAAGCTAAATGTTTGCACATATACTTGGTTACCTGATGATATGGTTTTTTATTGTCCCCCCCCCTTCATTATGTTTTAACTACATCACAGTGTTAATTGTAGTTATCTTTGATGATATGATATGAGGTGATGATTTTGTTTTTACACTTTTTTGTTTTCTCTGAATGCTTTGCAGTGACCATGTTTTCTTTGCATAATCACAATATTATTTAATATTATATCATAAAATTTTCTGTATTACTATGGTTCTCATGATATTTGCTGTTTATGACTGCTTGTAATTCCGCATAGGTGCTAGGCTGTAATTCACTTAACCGTTGTATTTGAAGATCATTATGCAGAAAACACACTCCATATTTGGGGTAATGTCCTCAGGTGAAGTTGCAGAAGGGAACCAACCCAACCAAAAAGGCTAGTGAACAGTTTTCAGACCTTTGATGCATTCTGCCAAACTGCTTTCCCAATAACTCATGGCTGTCGGGTCAGCCCCGACTCACGGCGGCCCCAGTGTTGCAGAGCAGAACTGGATTCCATAGGGTTTTCACAGCTGTGACCTTTCAGATGCAATCACCAGGCTTTTCTTCCGCTGCCCCGCTGGGTGGCTGGAACTGCCAGCCTTCGGGTTAGCCGTCGAGCGCAAGCCATGCCCACCACCCAGGGACCTTATAGGACGTTCCAGTCTCCGCTCCCACCAGCAACGTGTGAGAACGCCTGCCCAGCCACCCTCCTCTCCCGGTGGCCTCTCAGGTTCCCCGGGCAGCCGCTTTCCCTGCCAGGAGGGTATGTGCAAGCAGGAAATGGTGTTGTCATCTATGCCAGTGTGATGACCCCAGGCCCAGAGCTGCAGGAGTGATTTTTAACAAGCCTGTTTCCCAGAACAGAACCTGCAGAGACAAAGAAGAGAGAGGAAAGGAAGAAGGACGGACTCTGCTGGAAAACACACATACACGTACACAGATTAAAATAATATTTGGCACTAATGTCGCACTTTTAAATTTCTTCAAACGCTTTATAAACACAAGCTAATTAATTAAGCTGCCTAAATCTGGCTGCAGTTGGTGGAGAGAGCTCGAGAGGAGCTAAAAAAAAAAAAAAAAAGAGGAGCCAGCCCTCCACAGCTCCAGATTTTATTGTCGCCTCCTTGGGTGTGATTACAGGCCTCCGGCGCCACCACAAGAATAGCCCTGCTCCAGTGCCGCTCGCCTGACTCCACAGCCCCTCTCCTCTTCCCACCGACTGCTGACTCACAGCCCCGTGTGGTGTTATTGTTAAGGGTAATAATAACTGCCAGTTACCGCACTCGATCTTTCAGCTGCTCAGTCAGGCTCTAGGTGTGTGCTGTCTCCTGGCAATGCCAGCCTTAGGTCCATTTCTCAGATGAGGAGAGAGCTCAGAGAGGACACTTGCCTAGGGTCATTGAACAAGTACAGGCATTCATTCATTCATTCAGCATATATTTATTGAAGGCCCCGTGTGTGCCTGGAGTCCCTGGTGGCACAAACAATAAAGCACCCTACAACAAACTGAAGGGTTGGCAGTTGGAACCCACCCAAAGGCACCTCGGAAGAAAGGCCTGGCCATCTGTTTCCAAACAGTCACAGGCTTGAAGACCTTTGGAGCCCAGTTCTACTCTGTGCACATGGAGTCACCAGGAAGCAGATGAATGGCAGATGGTTTTTGGTTTAGGGTATGCCTGGTTGGTAAAACAGTGAGCATGTTCTGCTGCTAACCTAACAGCTGGAGGTGTGAGTCCACCTGGAAGTACCGTGAAGAAAGCCCTCATGATCTACTTCCAGAACACCAGCCATTGAAAACCCTATGGAGCACAGATCTGTCTGACACGCAGGAGGTCACCAGGAGTCAAAATCAATTCAATAGCTCCTGTGTTTCTTAGTGTTGTATCAGACTCTATCCCAGGCAAGAAGTTGGAAACTGCTCCTCCAGGATCTAACATGCTAGTGGTGGCGTAGCACCTAAGGCACTTGACTGCTAACCAGAAGGCTGGCGGTTCAAACCCACCAGCCACTCCTCGGAAGGAAGGTTGGGCAATCTACTTCTGTAGTGATACTGCTTCGGGAACCCCAGGAGGGGTTGCTATGAGTCGGGTCCGACTCGACAGCAGTGACAGCCTGCCAGTGGAGGGATATGATGATTGAGAGAAGGTCACACATAAATTATGTATGTATGTGATGATCGTAATGGGACAGGAACCAGAATGTGGCCAGCACCACCTATGGGACAGGCCCTGTGGATGACTGCGCCATGCAGTCCTCAGGATTACCCTGGGGAGAGATGCCGGTCCCTCACTTTATGGATGATGAGGCCCAGAGAGGGTGGCTTCTTGGCTGAAAGGGGAACCCGTGTCCTCACCTGCCTGCTGTTCCCAGAGCCTGCATTTTTCCAAGCAGCGTTTGTGACCCGTCCGGCCTCTGATGCTGAAGTGTAACCACTTGGGGCTGTTCTGGGCTTGCTGCTGTTGGCAGCTGCAGTGCTGCATCTGATGTCACTGGGTGGCTTTGCTGTGCTGCACGGGCATCTCTCTGTGTCTCTCACATACCTGGCCACAAGCCCCACCCCCTTTTGGCGGGGTGATACCGGCTGTGCGCCTGCCTCTGTGGGCCTGGCTCCTTCCTCTGTCCTGTGAAAAGTGGCCTGATGCCCTGAGGCTGTGCTCACCAGCCATGAGAAAGGGGCCCCCAGGGTGATCCGTGGCCCAGGGGCCAGGGCAGGGTGAGGCTGGGAAGACAAAGAGACAGGAAGAAGAGTGGGTAGATGAGGCCTGTTCTCAGTGCCTGGGCTTGCCTGGTGAGGGCAGCTGGGATCTGTGGACTTCCCTCCCTTTGGCACCTGCCCCGGCCAGTGGGGCAGTGCCAGGCCCACAGGCTAGTGAACAAATCCACAAGGCCTCTCTCCTGCCCTGGCCAGACCTGGAGCCCGCTCCTTGGGGAATCTGCCTTGCCTCGAGGTGACATCGTGGTCAGTGCAGAGCTCAGGCTGGGACCTGGCTCACTCGTGTCCCCTCACACCAGGCTTTCACCAGTCCCCATCTCTGTCTTATTCATCCTCTCTTTCCTCCACTCCACCTCACTCTCTCATTCTGTGTCTGCCTGCCTGTCCCGCTGTCTCTGTCTCTTTCTGCTTCTCTGTGTGTGTGTGTGTCTGTCTGTCTGGTGATCTCTCTTTTTCTCTGTTCATCATAGTCTCTTTCTGTTTCCTCTCTCCTCATCCCTCACCTTTAGAATCAGGCCCTGGGCTAGGCTCCCTCAGTCCCTGCACGACTCACAGCAGTGTCCTTTTGCCCCTTTATCATCCTGGTTGTGTCCTCCCCTTGTCCCCCAGCCTTTACCAGGGTCCCTGTTTCAATACGCTCCAAGTGGCCTTTGATTTGGGCCTCAGACTCCTTCCCATTGCCCAGCCTGGGGGCCCTGGATGCCTGGACTGGGTCCAGCTCCTGCCTCCTGCATCCAGCAGGCGGCCTGCGGGGACATCAGCCAGGGCTGGTGGGGTGACAGTTTGAGCAGCATCCTTCCCCATTCATTCATTGTTCCAGCCTCCCATGTGCCCAGCCCAGTGCTAACTGGCTTCTGTATGTGATCTCATTTTCTTTTTAGAGCAAAGCAGAGAGGTGGAAGTGTTAAACCATCTTATAGATAAGGAAACAGACACTCAAAACTAATGGACAAACTTATACACACAGGAATAAGACGTTCAGCCAGGTTTCAGATGAACTCTGATGACTCCAATGGCCAAACTCTTCTTTATGACACTGTCTCTGCCCTGTTGCTGTTGTTGTTGTGAGGTGCCGTCAAGTCGGCTCTGACTCACAGCAACCCCATGTACAACAAAGAAACACTGCCTGGTCCTGCACTAGCCTCATAATCCTTGCTATACCTGAGCCCATCATTGCAGCCGCTGTGTCAATTCATCTCACTGAGGGCCTTCCCCTTTTTTGTTGACCCTCCACTTTACCAAGCATGATATCCTTCTCCAGGGAATGGTCCCTTCTGACAACGTGATCGAAGTGGGTGAGATGAAGCCTGGCCATTCTTGTTTCCAAGGAGCATTCTGGCTGCACCTGTTCCAGGACAGAGATGGGGTCATAGGAACAGTTTTACAGGAGAGGAAACTAAGCTCAGGAGCAGTGAAGGGACCCAAACTAAGGCAGTGTGCAGAGCTCCCTCTCATGAGCACACATTTGACCCTCTCAGTCACCTGAGGATTGCCCAGGGTCACACGGCTATAAGCCACCGGGCCAGGATTCCAGCCCAACTTCTCCTACTTCAAATCTCATATCTTTCCACTACTCCACTGCCTGGATGAACCTCCACCCACTGAGTGCGGCTCCTGCTTGGGCCTGCTTCATGGGCCAGGATGGAAACAGACCCTGAGCTTCTTTGTGAGGCCCCCTACACACACACACACACACACACACATGCTGCTGCACACTTCCAGCTTAGGCCTAGCTGTTCCAGAGAGGGCTCCAGGCTTCACTCAGGCTGCGCTCACACCTGCACTCTGCCAGCTCATTAACCATTGTGTTCCTCGGTTTCCCCATTTGTCTTGCAGTCTCACTGTGTAGATTGTGTTAAGGATTACATGAGATTGTACATGGGATGTGCTGAGCACAAGGCCCGGCCCATGGTTTGCATCAGAGAGTGAAAGTATTGCTGATAAACACCTGAGATAATAGACAGGATCCTGTTGGATGAATAACGGCCCTGTATTTCCTGCAGGAGTGACAGGTGAAGAACTGAAGGTGATACAACCTGAGAGGGTGTCGGTCGCAGCTGGAGAAGCGGTCACTCTGTCCTGCTCTGTCTCTGCTCTGGTTCCCGTGGGACCCATCCAGTGGTTCAGGGGGACTGGGCCAGATCGGCAGTTAATCTACAGTTTCAAAGGAGGCCTAGACCCCATTCGCCTCTTCCCCCGGGTGAGAAATGTTACGGACACCACACAAAGAGGCAACATGGACTTTTCCATCCGCATCACTAACATCACCCCAGCAGACGCTGACACCTACTTCTGTGTGAAGTTCACAAAAGGATCCCCTGATGACGTCGAGTTTAAGTCTGGTGTCGGGACACAGGTGACTGTGAGTGGTGAGTACATTGTGGGGCTCCGCCCCCTGGTGTGACAGCAGCTCAGTGATAATGCCCTCTGTTCTTTTAAGCAACAGCCAAGTGTCAGGTGTGGTGGTGGGTGCTTACATTCACAGTCACCTTTCATCCCCTTTTACAGAGCAGGGAGCTGAGACCTAGAGGTCATGCTATTCGCTCAAGGCCCCACAGCTGATAAAAGGTGGAGAAAAGTCTAGAAACCTAGTTGCTCTGACTCCAAACCCTTGCCTTTTACCTTCTGGTTCCCGCAGATGAGTGGGCTGAAAGTTTGGGGGACTTCCTAGTCACCTCACCTCCTGCCCTAGATTCCTCCCCGGCAATGTCTTCTCTTACTCAGCAAACATTTGCTGAGGACCTACTGTGTGCCAGTCTTTGCTCTCAGGGTTTGGAATCAGCAGTGCACATAGTAGGGAAAATCTCTTCTCCCGTGAAGCTTCTGTTGTCTTCTTTGCAAAGAGGAGAGGGTCAGTCCAGGGCAGAGATGGGGACATGAGTTTCTTTCTTTAGTTTTCAGAAACATCACACTGAGCAGAAAGTCCTAAGAGGCAAAGACTCACTGTTTGCTCTGAGAGCCCTGGTTGGGGGAGATGCTGACAGGGCTGGCTTTGCTGGGGGTTCTCAGGAAAGCCCCATGTGGTTCAGCACTGACACCCCACTGAGCACAGAAGGCTCTGAGCCAGGCCCTGTCATCTCAGAACCCTCATCCCAGAGAAGAGCCTCCATACGTGGGTGACTTAGGAGCAACCCAGCTGAAGCAGCAGAGAAGATGCTTCTTTTGGGTTTTCTGCCAAAGGCCCAGGATCCTCTTCTCAACTCCTGGATCCTGGGCCATCAGCATGAAGGACCTATAGACACCATCCAGCCCACCCCCACTCACAGATGGGGAGCCTGAGGTCAGGAGACAACAGGGTCCGCCCACAGTGATGGGTGAGTTAGCATGGGATCTGGACCAGAGCCCAGATCTGGTTCTAGGCCAGGTTCCTCACTGCTGTGGTGTTAGATACTCTGTCCACAGAAGAGCCTGGCGCACAGTAGGTGCTGAGTAAAAGCTCATTGAACCTGCACCATTGACCAGGAGCCAGCATTATTCCATTTCATTAGTTTCCCAAAGGTTGAGAATATGCCCCTCACGCTCAGACTCCAAGGCCCATAGGTGATTGCAAAGCCTCTTTTGAACATAAACCGGGTCATTCTGTATCAGCCAAGTCAGTCTATATATAGAGCTCCTCCTTTGTTTTTAACGACTGCAGAATGCGCCATCATATGGAAACGTCATATATTTTATAGTCTCCTGCTGATGGATACGTAGGCTGTCTCCAGTCTTGGGAAGTTCATACAGTGCTACCAGGGGTGACATGCACTTGCATCATCCTATACAAGCAGCGTGTCCCCTGGGGGTTGTGTTGCTGGGTCAGAATGTGGGTATTTCAGTTTCATATATAGGCCAGAGTCCCTCCCAGATACAGCAACTGAGTTGCCCACAACCCTGGACAGAGGCAAGGAAGGCACATTTAACCCAATTTAACAGATGTTACAGTAGAGACACTGAGGTTCATGGATGATACATCCCTTCCTCAGGCCCATCCTGAGCCACTTGCGGAAGCAATCACAGTGGCGAGTGGCTCAGCCCTGACTCAGAGCTGCTAACCCCTAGTGGAGTGCCCAGCCCTTTCCACAGTGCTGTCTTCCCTAAGGATGGCCTGGACGAGAAAGGGGGAGGGAACACAGGGCTCCATTGTGTCCTCGTGATGGCATCTACCCTGATAACAAGGACCATGAGAGAGGGACCTTAGCTCCCCCTTTTGCAGATGAGAACAAGAGGCTCAGAAAGGGGACCTGTCTGTGGTCAGGGGGGAGCTGGGATTTGAATCCCAAGCAGCCTGGCTCCACAGCTCTTAGTCTCTGCCACACCCACTGTACTTGTCAAAGTGTAGGGAATGGGCCAGCCTTCTTTTAAAATCTTGTATCATTCTGTTTTGCAGCACTGAGCATTAAAAAAAAAAAGTCCCACAGTGGGAGGAGGGGCTGTCTTTGCAGCCCAGATCCTACAGACACAGCAAAGGCTCAGGATATGTTGACCCTGTTCCTTAAAAAGGCATCTGAGCATCCTGACAGCCTTGAGGCATCTGTTCCCCCATTGCCGTGATGTTGCTCCTCCCCCAGTAGCCTGGGAGCCAGCTCTGTCTAAACAGCAGGCTGATGAACAGGGAGGGACCCAGGGCAACCCCACAGAGAACGAGTGCCCACTGCACAGCTCTGAAGACCGAGGATGCTGAGAGGAAGGCAGTCCCTGGAGGGCGCTTGGGGTCCCGGGTGAGCAGATGTTCATATTCCAGACGCA